GACCCCTCCCTCCAGCTCTATCCAGAATACTCCCATGATTCCGACTGCCCATTACCAATTATCAAACTATAAAAATGGGTGTGTTGCTGGTCAGACTAAAGTGAAAAGGGGAACTCTGCTCTAAGAGAAAAACACCAGATGGTTTGAGAGGCATTCCTGCTATCAGAGAAGTAAAGGACAATAAGGGGAGGAGGAAAGGAGGTGGCAGAGGGGAGGAGCGCTGAGCATGGTGATATACACACCTGTAATCCCAGAACTCAGCAGGGGAAGAAAGGAAGATGGAGAGTTTGAGGCCAGCTTAGGCTACTGTGCTCACAAATGTATGGAACTTAAAACCGAGAGGGTCAAAATATGAAGAATACTAGTAACTAAATATATGTATGTAGGGAGTCGGGGAGATGGCTTGGTGGGCAAGAGCACTTACTGCATAGTCTAATATGCAGGACTCCAGTTCAAATCCCCAGCACCCATGGTTGCACACACACCTGCAAACTATGCTGGTGGCTGTGGAGATTTAGAGACAGGCTCCCTGGGGCTTCTGGGGCTTTCTGACCACCAGACTAGCTCTGGGCTCACTGAGACCCTATCTTAAACTCAATGGGGAAATGAGTGGGACAGAGCAGGACACCTGATGTCCTCTTCTGATCTCCACGTGCATGCACAGACACAAAAGTATGCACATGCTACACACATGTAACACATAAACACACACAATAAAACAGTAAATGGCAACATCTAAAATTGCAAGTGAATCTGCCCTTATTTAAAGCAATAAGAAATATAACGCTATACTTTGCTCTGTCAATGTACAGAACATTTGTAAGAGACTTTTCTCTGGGGCAACTCTGAGGTCCAAGTGCTAGTTCTGATTTGACCTGAGTGCCACAGCCTCCTATCCCAAATTATTTCCTATTAGTCACTCCTTAAGCAGCCCGCACTGCACCTGAAGCTCTTGCTGCTCTGTCCTGTCATCCTGGCCTTCCTCTTCCAACAATCCATCATCTGCCTGTTCCCCTTGCCACAGCCCTTTCTGGAAACCCCTGCCTCCAGTCTCTCCCCTCCTGATACACTCTTCTGGTGTCTTTGGTAGATGAACAGTTCTCAAGTCTTACCTACTGGCCTGCTAAAAAGTCTCCACAGAAGCTCCCACCTTAAGGAAGGACAAGTGTTAGCTCCAACTCAACAAACCAAACCCTCTCCGATCTGGGCCACCAAGTCTGCGTCAGCCTGTTTCCTAGGGTATTTGACTCTAAGCTGATCTCGACTGGGATCTACATAAGGGTCCTGTGTGCCCAGTGCTCCAACTCCCCACTCCCAGGGGATGCAACAAGAGTCACCTGCCCGGACCATTGCCACATGGATTTCTACTACCAAGTCTTCTACCTTCTCCTGGCTGGAACTGCCTGGCCCTACCACACTGCTTTCCCAAAGTCAAATCCTACTCTCTCCAACCTGTAGCGACTACCCATATCTTGCTACTGTGCATGTGGCTAGTAAGGACAAGTCAAGTGCTCTGACCGTATAATACATACTGAATTTCATATAATTCACATAGAATTAATTAACTAATTCACATAGTACTTTAAAACTCCTTGTTAATCTTTACTATTACCTGCTGATACATTAGGTTAAATATAATACATTAAAATTAATTTCATATGCTTCTGTGTAATAAATGCAGTTACAAGAAAATTTTATTAAATTATATATATGCCTTACATTTTTTTTATTTTTGAAACAGGATCTTACTATGTGGACCTGACTAACAGAGAACTTTCTATGTAACACAAACTGATCTCAAATTAACAATAATGCTCCTGCCTTAACCTCCCAAAGTCTGGGATTACTTGTTTGCTGGAGCAATACAGTAATACACAGGGGTTGTGAGGAGGGGGTGATTTGTTTGGCTTACTCAGTTACTCTTCTAAAGATGATTTAAACAGCATAAGAAGAACTGAAGTCAGCTCCTCGTTCATCCCAATGAAACATGAAAACCATTAAAACAGAGTCCTACAAGGGCTGATTTAAAACACATTGTCAGGACTCAGCAAACTGACTACTTTTTATGACAAGAGAGTAAGGCCATTACCATTATCTAATAAAAAACGAAGGGTGGATAAAATACCTCTTAAAATATGTGTCCTATTAATGGAAGGAGGAAAGTAACGAAGAAGAATCTGGTTAGTGCCCCAAGCCGAAGCCATTACATATGTACTCACACCCTATCATACCCATTTAACAGAGTAACAAAGCTGAGGTTCAAGGGCAGGCTAAGTACTAGTCCATGCTGTGCAGCTGCAAGTAGCAGGGACAGGCTGCAAACCAGGTCAGAAGAATCATCCTTACATAAAAAAATGCCAGTCCTATTTCACTTGAAGACACAGACATGAAAAGCAAGGTTATAAGTGCATACGTAATATGCAATACTAATTAAACCCATTCCCTTCAGTTGCCTTCATATTGACTTAATTCCTCTCAAGAACACTGTCTTTTCTAAAGGTAATAACTAAATAAGATATTTGATGCTGTGGGAATCAACACTTTAATGCACTAGTTTTCTTTAAAGTCTTCTAATCACAGCTGTAAAGCAAAAGTTTACACTAAATATTATGGCTAGAATTCCTCAAATTTTATTTATTTTTGTAAATAGAGCCCCTATAGTTAAAGATCACTAATACATAAAGGAAATTCGGCCATCATCAGCAACAAAGTATTCCTAATGTAATATCAAAGAACTCTATGTTACAAACAATATTTTAAACACAGATTTTTATCTTTAAGTGATAATACAGCTGTTATTTTTTCACATATAAAGATGATTCAGGCTGCAGACAGAGGCTAAGAGCACCTGCTGTTCTTGTACAGAGTTTAGTTCCCACTATGCATCTCGGGGCAATTCGCAATCACCCCAGGTGATCCCTCTATTGGCCTCCAAGGTTACTGGACTCACTAGCACAAGCCCACCACACACACACACACACACACACACACACACAATTTAAAATGTATCATAAAGAGATGCCACTGACCTGGTTCCCAGGCTATCCCTGCCACTTGCAACTGAAATGAGACACACGCCTTAGAGGAAAAATCAGGGACACTCAGACCCGAAAAGTATCCACTTTCTCAGAATCCTAAAAAGGACTGCTTATCTCTAAGAAACTCATCTGATCTAGGTTTCTGACTTTATAAAATGTATCCAACTTAATCTTGGGCTTCTAAGTCAGAACAAAGGATTAAATTCTTTAGCACAAAAAAGGTTCCAACATATCAAATGCCTTAAAATACTGTTCAATCCACTTTATCAAAAACGCCCCTGCAGCATAATCAGATACTAAGGACCCAACACAAAGCACTTGTGTGCCTGGGCATTTCACTACAGGAAGGAGAAAGTTCAACTTACCAAGAACACCACATTTTGCTTTCAAGAGTCCAGAAACTAATCCCCCTAACAATAACTGTTTTACATTCATCATAAACCGAACACATGAAGTGGGATCTCCAGGAAGATGAGATAACAAGAAACTTCATTTGGCAAAATCTGGTGGCTTTCTTTTGAGGAGGAGGGATATTTTTTGTGGTGGTGGTGGTCATGGTTTTGAGTTTTACTTTCCGTTGGGTGTTGGTTGGCTAGTTTACTGGCCTGTCTCCCACCCAGAGATAGCTTACATACTCTAAACAGAAATAATCAGCATCTCTTAATCTCATTAACAAAATGCTTAATATTCTCAGCTACAAAATGAATTCTTTAAGCCCTGTTTTCTCAAGTGACAGTCACTCTAAAACTTGGTTTTAAATTTTTTTTTTTTTTTTTTTGGTTTTTCGAGACAGGGTTTCTTGGTGTAGCTTTGAAACCTGTCCTGAACGTGTTCTGTAGCTGGCCTCGAACTCAGAGACCTGCCTGCCTCTGCCTCTTGAGGGTACCACCACCACCCGGCCTTAAATTTCTATTAATATTATTGTTTCAACAGTAAATACACGTGGAAGAAACATGTCTTTTCCTTGGCCCCAAAATACAGACAAGACTGTCCATAGACAGGCAAAGATGTTTCTATTTTGAACAAAAGTTAAGACAGACAGAACTAGATCCATGTAATACATAGTCTAGCCAAGCGACGCACCCCAGCACCGGGAGACCTTGTGGACACATCACACCCACAGGGGCGAGCATTCAAGTCTTTACAGGTCAATTCCTGGCCCACTTGGGCTCTGCAGAACCTCCACCCTGCAGGCCATAAAAAGAGAAGGCTAGCAGGGAGAAATGGCTGTCATTCTGGTTATAAGGGAGACGCAGCCTCCCCGAACCCAAGAAAGTCTGGGTTCCTCTGAGCAGAGCCCCCTTCACACCAAGAACTCTATGAGCCTGGCTCTCCTCACCCCAAAATGGTTACATTAAAAGGGAGAAGGCAGGGCGTTAGTGGTGCATGCCTTTAATCCTAGCACTCAGGAAGAAGAGGCAGGTGGATCTCTGTGAGTTCCAGTCTGGTCTACAGAGTAAGTTCCAGGACAGCCAAGGCTCACACTCAAATATAATAACATTTTAAAAGGAGACTGGTGGCAGTTCAACTAAGTCGGTGATGGGATGGCTTGAGGTCTTGGTCTAATCCAAGTTGTCAAGAATTTAAATTTTTAAAATGAGAGAGGGAGATGGCAGAGGTGTGTGTTCTCGACCGCTTCACTTGTGCCGGGTTTTATTTCCTGGAGAGGACAGGGTATAGTCACCTCTGTGCCTGGCCTCTAGGTTACCCGAGGCTAGGCGCCCAAAAGAGAATCTTGACTAAGTTTACACTTGGGGCAACAGCGCAGCGCCCAGGGCTAGCCTACCGCCTTCAGGAACAATGCCTCAAGTGTCCCCGATCTGGGCTAGCAGGGGTCCTGTGCAAACCATCCCCGGCCCCCTGCATCACTCGGACCTGAGAGCCCGCCAGGCCCACGCAACGGGTGGCACCCGATCCTCCGGCAAGTGCCCCTGGTCACACAGCCCACGCCCCGCGCCTCACCCAGTAGCGCCCGCAGGTGCTTCAGGCGGGTCAGCACGTCCTTCTTGGGGTCCAGCACCTTCTGCGTGGACTTTTTCACATCCCCGTGGCTCCTTCGGGAGAACATCCCGCCGCGGGAAGCCCGGGCCCCGCCGGCGGGGCAGGAGGCGCCTGCGCCGCACGAGTCACTGCATAGGGTCGCGGCGGGCGCGTGTCGCTCCGGCCACTAGCCGCCCCCCTCCCGGCCGCCGGGCCGCCTCAGCCTCAGAGGAGGCTCCAGGAAGGAGGGGCGGGACGAACGGCCAGGGGCGGGGCAGGAAGGCGGTGTCGACGCGAAGCCCTCGCCCCGCCCCACTGGAGCCTCCGGCCCGCCCCTCCGGCACGGCGCACGCTCGCAACCCGGACCGTCTCTCAACACACGCGCCAGGCCTCGCGGAGACCTCGCGGGGACGCGCGCCCGGCTCCGAGTCTGCGCTGTGACCTCCAATCAGATTGCTGAGTCTTCCACACAGCTACGAGCGTGTGGTCCCGCCCCTCTGTGGGCCGCAAGTGCTCCCGGGAAATGTAGTCCCCAGTAGACCAGGCGGCGCGCCCTCCTTTCCAGAGTCTTAAAGGTGCTAGATTCTGCCCTTGAAAGCCTCCCTTCTCTCAGCTGTGTCGCCTGAGCGCACCCACTTTACCCCCTACTCCCCTACCCTCTTCCCGCCTTCCCCCCTCCCCAAACAACAACAAAAACAATAAGAAGAGTTGTAAGACTTTTAAATTTTGAACTATTTCTAGATTTCTGAATTCACAGTAAGGAGGGACACAAAGTCCTTGCGACCGAACCAAAATCAGAGCTCTAATTTCATACTAAAGTAAATGACTTTGGCAGTAGAAACGATGCCCTGGAGCTCAGTGAGGAGTCCAGTCCGTCCCTAAGGCACCTGGAACCCAACCTCAAGTGCCAGGTCTGGATGTCAGTCTTGCCTCTTGCTGTGTGGAAAGTGCATGCTCCTGTGTTGTGCAAGGTCACGTGGCAATCCAGTAACAGAACCAGAAATAGAACCTGAGGGGCCTGACTCTGGAGCCAAGATGCTTTTTAATGCCCATGCCTGTTCCCTGAAGCAAGACTTTAAGGTAGAAAGAAGCTGTTCAGAAGGTTCCTTACAAAAGAACTGACTGCAGAATCATCAGCATCCAAGGTTTGACATTTCAGCTTTATTAGCAAGTACTTAAGGTGAGAGCTTATTCACATGCCTTCCATCCAAATAGAAACAACTCAACTGTCTTTTTCTCTAGTTGAGGGACGGGCGAGGAATTTACACATCCTTGTATTTAGCTCTGTATTTGATCTCTACAGGCACTCAGTAAACACATTAAATGATAAAGCAGACCGGCACATTTCAATTCAGCATGCAAAAACATCTCAGTTCTTGTAAGTTCTATTTTTAGAGTTATCGAAATAGCATGGCTACAACTAAGACATACCCAAAGGAATATTATTCAACCAAAAAAAAAAAAAAAGTCTACTGACAAACCAAAGAGCATAAATTTCACAGACCCAGAAATTTAATCCTTATGCTGAGGATAACGGCATAGTGCACCTCCTGTATCCCCCCCAAATGACGTCATAAATCTAGGACACAACCTTCCCAAAACTGCTGTAAATGAGAGACGTGATATTATTTTTCAGTCAAGGCAAGAGTGCTTGTTACCATCAGTTTATCCTGTGCTCCATTGCAGAGAATAAAACACTGTGTTCTCTGCTCCATTCCTTTGAACAGGATACCTTTTCTTAAACTGACTGGAAAAATAAAATGCATTTATCTCACAGAGCTCAATTTTTCTCTTGCAGTGTGACCTCTCATTATTATCAAACATCGATGGAGAATCTGTGGTGTAAAAGCATAATCCTAAACCCAGGGAATAAAAGAAATATAAGAAACAAGTCCCTGACTACCAGAACTTCCAATCCAACTGAGGAGGAGAAACTAGACAAATGTATGTATTTCTGTATGCTAAATATATGCTCTCTTAAAAACCTGGTAGATAGATTATTATTGGCTTTGTGGGAGCCTAGGCAGTTTGGATGCTCACCTTACTAGACCTGGATGGAGGAGGGTGGTCCTTGGACTTCCCACAGGGCAGAGAACCCTGATTGCTCTTTGGGCTGACGAGGGAGGGGGACTTG